GTATTCTTATAGTATCAGCCATGTCTTAAAAACTGACATACTTTTTGCTACTACGATAGTTAAAGTGCACCTCTACCTCGGCGGATAGAAGTTTTTATGTAATTTTACTACCTTTTTTCAGATTTCATTCGAAATATATTTTTTGTTTATTATCTGACCTGAAATAATCATAATGTCCACTTGAGTCACTTTGTTGCTTAATCCAAAGCCGTCATCGAAAATCCGATATCTATAATACTTTTCAAAATACTGACCGCGGAGAAAACAGTTTTCAAAATCAGCAAAAAATGGCGGCCTGACCCAGATACTGAATATTATAAAGCTGAAGATATGTTTTTTTTATTTTTTTGGGTGAACGCGCTAATCTCAGGAACTACCGATGCGATTTGAAAAATTCTTTTTATTTTGGATAGTCCGTTTATCGAGGAAGTCTTTAGGCTATTTTTTATCCGACAATGACACGAGCGAAGTCGCGGGCGGCCACTAGTTTAAAAATATAACACGACCTTTCCAAGGTTTAGTAAATATCTTCAATAATGCTCCTATGAAATTGTCACGAACCTTTTTTACCTTGTTTATACAATGAAGTAATCGTTAAATTAAAGTGAATTTATTAGTGGGTAATCGAAGTAAACTGTTATTTTCAGTTAGCAATCATACATTGGTTGCCTAGAGCACTTTTTAACTTTATTTATAGCTGTTAAAAACTTACATAAAATAGTGGAAAATATTAAATCAAATAGGCACTTACTTTCAATCTTAGGATCCCTGGCGTAAAACTGATATCCGGCACGTAGCAAAATAGTTCCACCATTCTTTTTAATAAAACTTGTAATCCTGTGTGTTTTTTGTTCTGCCGAAGTAGACGCGGGTTCCTCCATGGTATGTAGCGAGGCGTGCACTGATAAGCGTTGACCTAAATGTAAAACTTAACCTACACATATTTATTTGCATCCCTTTCTTTACGAGCTTTAACAGGGTTGGTTCCTGATGATTCGTACAGTACGAGCTTACCTGCAAATATAATCCTTAATTTTGCGTAGGTAGAGAATATTATACTTTGGGTTGAGCTTCTGCGCAAAAATAAAATTAAGTGTTCTATTGTATTAATAGACAAAGAAGCTCGGACTGTCACACCCTTTCGGCGACTTTCAAAAAAACTTTAGGGAAACAAACTACGTAAACAAGTCGAGAGCAATAAAACGCCTGTTTTATTTAACAAAACAATATGATTTATGACAGCGGCAAGTCAATAATAGTTAGTGCGTTTGTCGGTTTTATTTTTATTTCCCTGTTAGAAAGGGATAAATATTTTAACAGGTAATCAAAAGGTCAGAGTATAGCTTTATAGGCTATCAAGATTAACAGGAATATGTAAGGAAGGAATAATAAAATGTAATCATTTTAAAAGAATAGGTAGAATCTTTGAGTCAAAGATTGGATAAAAGGTTTCACCTATATAAATAGAGCCCAAAATAGAATGAACATGGAACAGTATACCTATCAGCAGATTGTCATAACGAGTCAGTGTGTGGTTGGTTGGAAATGAATTAAGAAAGGTCTCCCAACGTGTCACAGTGTGGTGTGACTGGGTTGGGAATTATTTCAGAAGATCTCCCAACGTGTTACAGTGTGACTAGTTGGGAATAATTTTACAAAGTTCTCCCAACGAGTCACAGTGTTACAGGTTAGTGTGACTCGTTGGGAACAAACGTTGGGAATTTTTGTTTTTGTCACGAAAACGCACCTCCGTGGAATTTCTAGCTTAGAAAGTAGTTACCCGCGAAACAATATTAAGTTGGGTAACATTTAAAAGTATTACAGGATGTGACATCTTTAAATCGCAGGATGTTCGTGTTTCATTTCAGAGATAAGTAGGAAAAAATGCTTGATCGTCATTACCGTGTACGTAATTACCAAGGTTTACCGTGTTTTATATTCACCACGGTAATGACCGTCCCAACGCGGTGATGACCCCAATACTGTTTTTGGAATTCAAAACGAACAAAGTTAATTTAGATTTATTTCTTTTACATATTAAAGATGCTAAAGTCAAAAAGACTGCCAAAGAAATATGTAGTTACACAGAAAGAAAAAAGTAGGTAGCTAAAGAGACAAGACACACAATAAGTTGAACCTAAGTAGTTTGTGCTACAAAGAGAAAGAGAAGAGATTGAAGAAGCTTGTGCAAATAAATTATTTTTAATCTTACACAACAGAGAAACCAAAGAAGAAAACAGGCTAACTTACATTTATTTAATGACGTAAGATGTTTTTTTCATTGAAATATCAATCACTGATCTCATTAAACTCCCTAAAATCCATTGAGAAGCTTAAAAGATCTAAGCGTACAGACAGCAGGAACATCTTTGATTTATAGTATGCCAAGATAATACGAGTAAAATTATAAGGAAAAAAAGCTCATTGAATTGCCATATTACATTATTTTAATTTACACTGCAATATATTTTCATTTGAATATAAAAGCAATGATTCGCCGTACCTCTGCAATTTCTCTTGAACTGCTACCTTCATTAAGTGTTAAATTCAAATAATTAATAGCATTATTCATTTATGAACTAACAACTTAAATTACGCTTTTCAAAATGTCATTACAATGTCTCTTAAAATTTTAACTTCTTTAATTATTAGTTCACAGGGGGGCGAGCCCTTTGTAATTTATAGATGTAGACGCTATATTTTAGCATTATAGTGCAAAACAAAAACGAGCGAGCCTTTTAGTAGTCGCGTATGATGTGTAAAATTTGGAATCTCACCTTTTATAGTAAAAGAAGAAATAAAACCTACTACAAAAGGAATAATAATAACACATTAGAACATTATGTTCTAAAATCAAATCAAATAGCGCGCGCTTACGCGACTTCCTGTTACACAATTCCGTCCCATTTCACGAAATCACTCCCACAAATTGCAGGAAAGCGAGAGGAAAGATGTTACACATCAACAGAAAAATGTCATTTTATTTTTGGTAAAAAGTAGGAAATTGCATATTTCTCAAGAAGCACCACATGCACAATCAGACTCAATGAATATCAATTTCGACTAAAAGAGTATTCAATCAAATTTTAATTGCGTTGTAGAGTATATAGTTACCTACCTAGTTATGTTACTGAGTCGACTTGATTCGCTTGATTGTAGACTACTATCCAGACGACTACTTTGGCAAAGATTGGCAGTCCTTGACTTCGTAACGTCATTTTCAGCTTTGGTCAGAAGGATGATAAAGGGGGTTAAAAGATGTCAAATAGCAACGCTGTGTCAACATAGAGGTATAAGAATAGAGTGGGGAAGGCGGCTCTAAAAGTGTCCGTCTAGGAGAAAGAGTAAGATGAGAGACAGCTAGCCTTTCTCTAATCGCGAATGCGCATTGGATGTAAAATCTACGCATGAATACCGACCAAGCACACGACTGCGCAGCGTCACAAGAGAGAGAGATAGCTAACCGTCTCTATCTTTTTTCATTCTACTAGAGACGGACACTTGCACTTCTAATAGAGTACGTATCTCCCCTACTCTATTCTTATACCTCTATGTGCCAACCACAGCAAAACAAGTAATTTTTGCACGGCGTGACGTCAGTCTTTCTCGATTGTTGTTTACCGTCACGTGACCTATTATTTTTGCGAATTTATTTTCTTAAAAATAATAACATTATTTATGATCAATATAATAGTTCTTATATAGAAACTGTAACCCATCCGATTTAAAGAAGGACAAAAACAAAACATTGCATTTTATAAAAATACTTGTATTTATTGATTACGTAACAAAATTTTTAAATGTATTTTTAAACTTATCTAGCAATAACAAAAAGTGTAGAAGCAAATGGTGTCAAGAATTAGTTGTAAAAAATTACAAAATAATAATATCGTCACTCTCCCCACCGTTTGTTTCTACAGCGGTCATAGTAAGTAAATATACAGAGCAATTCATGACGGCATAACTTAGTAACGAGTTTTTTTATTGTATTTTCTTCTACAGTTATTTTATGGTGGTATGCCTAGATTAAAATAAAAAGGATAGATACGGTACATTCTCGTACAATACAATAATGATAATTACTATATTTTTCGTGGTATTTATTAGAAATCATGTTTTTTTTATTATAAACTCAGATAGGTTATTTTCTACGTGCTTACGAGTTTTTGTTTACTACATAGCATAGATAATCTATAGACTAAAATGGCCGACAGCGTTTTTGTATGTCCATGAAAAGACTATTTTAAAATTAAAGATTTGTAGCTTTCTAGGGCTCAAAAAAATATAATACTTTTTTTTTCGGTCTAATAGAACATTTATTAACCATTTAAAACCTTTTTCCAAAAAGGGTCAACTAGCCTATTATGGTCAGGCACCAAAATTTAAATATGCTATATATGAGTACTTTTGTGAGGCTAGTGCCGTATCTTCCCTTTTTGTTTTATCTAAGGTGGTATGTCAATACAGGGAACATATTCTTTGAACGAATATTTTGGCAGAAGTTAAAATGTTTTACTAGTTTATAGCTAGTAAAGTAAATAAAATATACACACATTGGTCATTATAATCTTCCTAATTACAAAATAGTGGGTTGACTGCCAAATTCATATATATTTCCACATGTTATGTATTCCGAATGGATCGCTCAGTATATAATTTATCACAACGTTTTGATAGGCGAGGAGCCACCAATCCAAAAAGCTCCAATGATTAATAAAAATTAAAATATATCACATTGAGTAGACAAATAAAATGCGCTTGGTTGGCGTGGATTTAGTTTGTCGAAAATATTTTTAAATGTCCATGTTTTACCGTTATCATTGGATTTGAAAAATCTAAAAGTAATGTTGTACGAATTGTGATGCCTTTTCAGAAAAAAACCCAGCCGACCAGTGTTTTTTAGCCGGAATGTTCCGGCAAACCAATTTGATGGTGTGATAGGGGTTACAATTTATTTATTATTATGGACTCCTAATTTTTACGCATTTTAGTTTTAGATTTGAAGATATCTTGTTATGCGTGCCAGATTTATCAAAATTCATGAAAAAACGGTAAAATATTATGGAAATTTAAAAATATATTATTTATTTAAAATATTTTCGGCAAACTAAATCCACGCCGTCCAAGCGCATTTTGTTTGTCTAAGTAAATGGTATCTTTTAAATTAATGCATGAACGTGGAGATTTTGGAATTGGTGGCTCCCGGACTATGACATATATACCTAATAAAAATTTTGTCGATTATGAAATAAAAAGAAAAGTAAATGCCAACTGGCAGTTCTGCATTTTGCAGTCTTATAATTAAAGTAGCTTAATTTTAAATCAACAGTTTATATCGTATCAGATCTAAAAGCACACATTCCGTACTTGAATCACATCATATGTTCTGGATACGCATAAATGCCGTCTCAACAAACGTAAAACAAATTTAGAGTAACCTAGCGGTGGTAAATCAGTGGAAGTCACTAATAAAACATTATTATTTGACTGGGCTGGGTCGAGTATAAATCGTAGCGAAAACACATGTACCCAGTATTGAACTCAAAAGTATATAAACTTCCTAAAAATAACACCCGAATACTAATCATAGGGTGAGGTAGTCAAATATGTAGGAAAAGCTTAATTATAATACTTAAAAAATACTATGCTAAGAATGAAAAAACATACGAGATATGTTTAAACTTATAGGAAATAGAGTGTTTCGTTGAGTGACTGGTGTGGTTGGTTGTGTAGACTGTTTGCTGCTAAGAAGGCGAGCTTATGTGCGTATTGGCACACTGATGGCACTCGAACTTGAGACGAGCAGTTGAAGTACAAATGGGTTAGTTTGTAGGTCAACAGCTGAATCTGTGGACGATTTAATGCAATCAAAAAAATTTACTAGAAGATAGTTTGCACGCCGCAGTTTTAACAGCCAACCTTATTATTGCAAAACATCGTAAGAGTACTCAAAATCCTGGAACAGTAACATCGATTCTAAGGTCCACTTGCAATTTTGCTAAATCTCAATTTAACAAAAACTAGAGCCCATATAATAATGTCAAATCAACATTTGTCTTAGGGATAATCTAATTTTATCTTTCGAGATTTAGCAATTTGGTACAAGTGGACCTAAAAATTATTAATCATAATGATGAACTGTTTATGACGCCTTACACTTAAACCATTAGAACCGATTTTGTTGAAATTTGCGATATTTTTAAACATGAAAATATAACGAAATAAATGAACATGAAATTAAAAAGAGGGTAATAAAATAAAACTATTTGAACAAGTAACAAATACATTTTATAGCAAAAATAGTAAAGCATATTAATCATAACTTATAATAATTAAAAATAACTTACACGATCAGGGGACAGTCCAGTGGTGTCCTCAACCACATTGTATGAAGTGGGTGCAATAGTGCCGTCACGAACGTTTTGAGACACCAAGTAGAAATCATATCTATAAAAAAAAATACATAATATTTAATCTTGGTCCCATTATTGCCACATGAGATTATAAATATAAGGCCCAACGAGAACACAGGAAAGTAGTGACATGGTCATGACACACTAATTATCACAGAACATAGAAAGAGGTTAGAAGGGTGATAAAAGACCGCTTGCTTGAGAACCGATGTCACCGGCTTGCCCCCACTTCACTTCCACCTAATAGGTCATAAGCCAATCAAGCAAAGCGAAATTAAATAATCGAACGAATCAGCAATTACACCAGTCGGAGTGTGCACTGATTCGTTTGATGGATTGCGCTAGTGGTTGACAGTGGCAGTTAATGAAATATTATTATCGATATCGATATGCGAATTGGACTTGAGTATTTTTATATTTGAGTAAATGGTATTTTTGTATCCTGACAAAGTCAGAAAAGACAATAAAACTTAAACGCCAAGCAGCTATAAACAATTATATAGTATTTAAATAAAAACACTTGACTAAGTATCGGTGTAAATAAGAATTTTGATATTTACCCATGAAAAAAAGTCCTCCTTTAGGTAGATTTGATACTTGCATCGTAACTTTGTAAGTAATTACAGTATAAGAAGGCATATTTTTAGAGTTTATCACAATATTCTCTCACCGCGGGTTCGCGAACAACTTCAATCGCCTAATGGAATTGCTGACTATCGCTTACGATTTCATTTTGTTATTTCCGACTGGATAGGCTTCCTGGAGAAGCTACTTTTAAGTGAGTCGATTGTGAAACCCCCGCGAACAATCCTACTACTTAGTAGGAATCTATATAAACTAACCTGGTCTCAGGATGAGGTAGGTAGGAGATCTTGATTGTTTAATTAACGGGGCGACGTGCCGGCCGGCAATTCCACCTATATTAGCGTAGTCCTTTTGATACTCCACAAAACGTTCACAGGAGTTGATCACAACCACTATAATCCACAGACGTAAGCTTCCAGGAAGGATTTAATGAATATAAATTCACTTTTTTACTAACAACGCAAGGCTCAGGCGGCCGTTAACGTTCTTCATAAGCGCACCAAATCGAAGTGTCTTTTTTGTTTTCCGGTTGCGGCGCCACCGTCGCGCGCACCATTTTTTGTTTTTAATTATAGGAAGGGAAACATGTAGGCAAAGGAATTAATAGTTTACAAGGATTGGCTAATGTTTATACACCGACCGCCAGAGGTTTTCAAATGCCTTGCGGTCTAATTTTTTTCTTTGCATTGGTAATAACAATATTAATGAAAATGAGCATGGGGTATTTGAAAACCCTCGGCGGTCAGAAATAACAAAATTAAATCGTAAGCGATACCGATTAGCCATAGTATTCCCGCTAGGCAATTGCCCCGCAGGTCAAGTTATGAGCATTTACTCATAACTGACGCGCCGGCCTCGCCCACAAGGCCCTTCTAACCTCTTATATGTTCTGTGCTAATTATACCTATTGCATTTCATAATCAAGTAACAATGTTAATCCTAATAGTAATCACCAGGCACACTATTACGTTTGTTTGCCAACAATCAAATTTATCCCAGTTGCTGATTGCTGTCTCCCAATTTAACCCATGTAATCAGGCAGAAGCTCAGCAATTATTTGCTATATTAGGCCAAATGCAGTAAAAATAATGATGATGAACAAGTGCTGACCTTTCCGGCAGTGAGACCACGTCGCCGATAACGGTGCCGGGGCGAGGGTTGTCAAAAGATAGCGTATTGAAAGTGATCAGATACAATATAGGCTTGAAACAGTACTCGGCTGACGGTCGGCGCCGACGTAGCTATATTTATGCAAATATATGAGCGTGTATACTGCTCTATCTACACTGATGATTTGCTACGCGCGTACAGCAATGGAGCGCTGGTAGAAATGGTCGGTCCGAAGTACGTAAGTCGGTCGACAGGCTATAAGAATGTATGTATGCGTTTAGTGCTTTGCTGACGCGATTCGACAGCTGTACGCATGCGTATGAACACGGGAACTTTAATCTTAGCACGAAACAATACCGAATTCGAATAGTCAAATTCGATCTTGATTTGTATGGTAGATTTTTAATTATCGTTATGTCCGTTTGACGATTTAAGTTATCAACTATTCATAGCCAAAGCTCAATAAATAAAAAAAAATATCAACCAATATTAATTATCAATATTTGTTACTGGGTTTTTATTCTAGAACTAGAGGTCGCCCGCGACTTCGTCTGCGTTAACTTAGTTTCTTGAAAATCCCTCTGGAACCTAACATTTTTTCGGGATAAAAGTAGCCTATGTGTTAACCTGGGGTGTCAGCTAACTCCATACCAAATTTTATTAAAGTCGCTCCAGCCGTTTAGACGTGAAGAAGTAAGAAACATACACACTCACATACTCACAAACTTTCGCCTTTATAATATTAGTGTCATTAGCCGAGTGCTAAAAAAGGGTTCCAAGATTTTTTTGAAAACCGTATTTTTCAAGCGACATTTGACAGATGGAGGTCATTTATTCTTATATGAATCGCACTATACCCGCCCTATAATAATGAACAAGTGCTGACCTTTCCGGCAGTGTGACCACATCGTCGATGACGGTGCCGGGGCGCGGGTTGGCGCCGCCGCGATTCGTCTCCACGAAAATGCGAGTGTTGATACGCTTCGACACGATGATGAAAGCAAACTTGTACTCCTGCCCTTGGTAGAGCTCGTTCAGCGCCTTCTTTATTTCCGCCACCTGGATAAGTTTATAGTAGTCATACAAACAAAGTCAGATATGACAAAAAAAATGCTTCATAAGTCTTGCTGCCCTATCCTATTGTTTTTGGCAATAATAATAGTATAAGACAGCACCTGGCAAACTTATTGCTAATAATGTGACAACTTCAGTCAAACTAGTGTTCATTGATTTCATTTCATTTTGTTCATTCAGTAATTTTGTTATACTGTTATTTAAAATCGATGAACACGGGCTTATGAAGAAGTTATTTTAAAATGTAATTGTTAAAATTTTTTTTCATCCCACCACCTCGGAAAGTGTAATTTTGCGCTTCGAAATCTGGCTGGAAAATTCTATTTTATTCGCTTGAGCGGCAAAGTAGATTTGAATTTAGAACATCACATATAATGAGTACTCAATATAATTGTAAATTCAAAACGTCATTAAACCTATTTAATGTAACCTCTATGGTGCCAAATTTATGATTAGAACTTTTTAAATTGTGAAAAAATTTAAATTTGGAACCTTCTTGGTTTCTTTGTTTTATTTGCGTGCTTCGCGCCATTCTAGTTTTTCACGTTTTATTGCTTAAATATTTTGTCATTATAAATTGTTTTCTTTTTCATTTTGTCATTTCCTCGCTGAGGTGGGATGAAAAGTTACGTATTGCACTCGAGTGGAAAGATTTTTCACCTTGTGCTCGTTTGTTTCCCTCGCTGACGCTCAGGATTCTAATTTAGAATCACTCGCTGCGCTCGTGATTCAACTTTAGAATCCTTCGCTTGCTCGGTCATCCAAATCGAGCACGCGGTTAAAAAGGAACTTTCCACTCTTGTATAATAAATAACTAATATTTAAAGAAAACCAAAGTTGTACTCTGTTCAGCTATCCGGCTGGAATGGAGCTTATTTAACTATCAGGACGACTTTCATGTTTAACGAGAAGTAAGGGATATTAGAATTCCGCCTCTGAATGGGATCACAAGTGTTGATTTGCTTTGATATAAAGATATCCCATAATATTGTAAATCTGTGGCAAAGCTCGAAACAAACGTTAAGTAAAGTGGAGGTGGTTAAAGTGGTACAGAGTTAAAACTTCTACTATTCTATCTACTACTAAATAAATTGTTACAAGGCTTTAGTTGTACTCATTTCTATGATAATAAATGTAATATGTAAAAAGTGAATGAAATATCTGTTAGAGATAAGCTCTCCTTTGCTCACATTTTTAAGTATTGTTTTACAATTTTTATTCTATGCAATGCAATAGTTTAATAAAGTTTTACGTACCTCATAGTCACGGACGAAAGGGATTTGTCCATCACCAACACCATCACGGTATACCAAGATTGGATTGGGTAATACTCCTGTAAAATAAAATCACAATCAAAACTGTCAGCCCCTAAAGCATTAGCAACAAACAACTCTACTGTCAAACTACTTTGAGTTCATGTCCATCAATCGCTTTATCACATCGCGTTTTGGTGGTCATACTAGGAGAGCTGTATTCATAACTACTCGTTAAATCAAGTAAGTCATAATTAAAAAGCTTAAAATTAAATTAAAAAACACGACTGTCGTTTAATTTTTTTTAATTATAAAGTAAAAAATAATTACCCTTTTTCGAATAGGAGTATATTTTTAATGCCGTCGCACAGTGGGTGAAAAAAAGAGGTCCCCTTTCATAGGATTTTTGAAAAAATAAAAATGTATATTATCCGTTTAAGGTATGCGGTTTTATTGGACATATCAGTACATTGAATAATAAAATAGTTTGGGGAATTTCCTTTTAATCTAACACCATAAAGCACGGGCTTTAGAGTTTCAAATGTATGAAAACGGAATTTGTTTTGCTCATAACTTGTCTCGGTCTTCTACGGTCAAGCTGAAACTAATAGGGATTATTACCGGGTCTGTTACGAAGCCATGTGACCTTTGACCTTCACCCCGGACGGCCCCGTTCAAAAGATACGAATTTTTCAAAATGCTTATTAGGGTAATTTTGCTTTACGGGGTTATGTGTCTCAATAAACAGTTTATTTATGTTTCTTGCCCAGCATTTAGTTATTAATACAGCGCAGATTATTATCTAATAAAACTATACATATATATATAGATAACGACACCATACAACTTAACTTTAAATAAAAGCGTCCTTATTCAAAAGATATGGAATTAATATAAATAGATAAAGGAAAAATTGTTTTAAGAAAAAGAAAACAAGAATACAGTATTGTAAAGAATTACAATGGAGTCCTTTACAGCCTACAATTTAATCTTTTGTTTGACAATCGCTTAAAAGCCGCGCGCCATTAACGAGAGCATCATTACATATAAACAATACAAACTCTATTGTTGCAGGTTTTGAGGAATTCAAAGGGTTACCCACAGTCATTACCTGCCGTTGTTTGCCTATAATAATTACTGATTATTTGCTTTTATTGTGGGTAGGTGAATAAATAATACGTTGTTATTATTATTATTCAACAATGACTTCGATTATAATAAATACGGAGTACACCTGTATTTCATTTCACTTATCATTATTGATTCGTAGCGTAACGTTCTCTTTGCTCAAATTTTAAGTTGCTCAGAATGGAAGGGCTTGTGTCTAATCTCGACGTATATATATATATGAGGCAAAAATCTTTTAGTGCCGACATGTTATTTCAAAAAGTACTCGATTCAGTGAGATTTTCATTATCTGAAGAACAAAAGACAACTCTTAAAACGTTTTGTGCTACATATACGAGTAATCTTAAACGCAAATGGAAGTCAGCTAATTACACACAAGGGAATTTTATAAAGAAGTTTGCTGACTGGTTGGACCAAGAAATAAAATGGCCAGAGTTTGTTTCACTAGACATAACTGAAGAACAATCAAATATTATGACGAGTTTTGAAGATCCTTCAACAAGTATTTCAACAGTAACAAGACCTAGTTTATCAACGGAATGCACTGTTCCTCATAGTGTGGCTGTGTCGACATCAACCGCTACATTTAGTCCTCGAAAAGAATTTGCCAATTTGAGTCCACTGCAAAAAAGAAGAAGAACTGAAAATCTCATTGCCGAAAACGACTTTGAGACACTTGCTTATGCCCTGGCTAGGAAAGCGGAAAATGAAAACCAAACGGACTTTGTAGAATTAGTGAAGCATTTGATTAAAAAGCCTGAAGATGCGCCAATGCTGCGAGCCTGCCTGAAATCGACGAAACGAACTTGTCATACCGATAAGGCACTCGGTTGAGGCAGACAATGAGAGACATGGGGTGTGATATACTTCCATCGTATGATGCTTTGAAGCAAGAGAAGAAGGAGTGCTACGTTGAAAAAGAAGACATGGTAATAACTGAGACTGAAGTAACACTTAAACTTCAGTCTATTTTAGATATTACGGTCAAGAGACTATTAAAAACTCTGGAAACTGATTTAACTGGCAGTAATTCGACTCTTATCAGTAAATGGGGGTTTGACGGTGCATCTGGGCAAAGCAACTACCAACAAAAAATTGACGGCGATGATTCAAGCATCTTCATGTGTTCATTTGTGCCGTTAAAACTGGTGAGAGATGGTACTGATGAAATAATATGGGAAAACCCCAAAGCGTCTTCAACGTTTTACTGTCGACCCATTTATTTTAAGTTTGCTAAAGAGAACGATTTGAATGTTAAAGAAGAAATGACTTCAATTGATACGGAAATTGCTGCTCTACATCCAACTGTTATCGATGGTGCAAATGTAAAACACGTTCTGCATATGACGATGATTGATGGTAAAATAACTTCACATTTATCAGATACATCCACAGCTACATGCGATATATGCAAAGCAAAACCAAAAGAAATGAATGATATCGACAAGGTTACTCAGAGAACCCAGTCTGTAGACATGTTTAAGTTCGGTCTGTCTTCCCTCCATGCACGAATTAGATGCATGGAATGTATCTTACATATTGCTTACCGTCTCGACTTCAAGAAATGGCAAGCTAAGGGCGAAGATTTGAAGCAACAGTTAAGCCAAAGAAAAAAGGCTATTCAAGAACAATTCCGGACTGAAACGGGGCTACTTGTGGACGTTGTTAAACAAGGGGCTGGTACAAGCAACGATGGAAACACAGCAAGAAGATTTTTTGTTAATCCTCAAATTACTGCTCAAATAACGGGTGTTGATGAAGAACTCGTTAGAAGATTTGGAGTGATTCTTCAGGCTATCTCATGTGGAGAGTTTGTGGACGTGGAAAAATTCCGCCAATATTGTGCTGCTACAGCACGCAAATATGTCGAGCTCTATGAATGGTATTATATGCCCTCAAGCGTGCATAAATTACTCATTCATGGTGCCGATATAATAGAGCACAATAACTTTATACCAATCGGCAAGCTCTCTGAAGAGGCCTCTGAAGCTCGTAACAAAGATTTTAAAAACTTCAGAACCTTTCACTCGCGTAAATCTAGCAGGATTGCAACAAATAGATATTATCAATAATTTGTTAATATCGTCTGACCCATACCTATCAAGTTTCAGGCCTAAAATATGTCAACGAAATAAACCTCTCACAAATGAAGCTAAATCATTATTATTAACTTCTTGTGAAGATAAGGAAAATATAGAGTTTGTAGATGTAGGTAATGTATCTGATTATGACTTTGATTAGTATGTGTTCTTTCCCTCAAATCAAATTATATCAAACTTTGTATTTTTATTTTTTTGTATCTTTGTATCATATTAATATAAACAGTTTACATATTTAAGAACTGTTGTAGCCAATTTGAGTTCTACTAATCTTTTATACTTTAGCTTGTATGTGTGTAGTAATTTATACAGTTGTGGCTTCCTTATTATGCATTATTAATTTATGATATCAAGCTTAGTTAGTAATTTAAGTTTTGTAAATAAAAATATTGATGTTAATAATTTTGTTTTATTCATAATGTAAATAGTTTATTTTCTCGTTTGGCAGTAACATATCAGAATCTCCCTTACTACATTTACTAATATTAATAACCAGCTAGTTTATCTGGAAAAACACTTTGTTCATTTTAAGCTTAGTCAGTTAAAGTTCTAGATATCCCAAAATAAACATATTTGATCAAACCCTTTCTTAGATAGACATTGTAAGTGTAAGTATGTTTGTTTGAAAAAATTAATTATTATAGGCAAACAACGGCAGGTAATGACTGTGGGTAACCCTTTGAATTCCTCAAAACCTGCAACAATAGAGTTTGTATTGTTTATATGTAATGATGCTCTCGTTAATGGCGCGCGGCTTTTAAGCGATTGTCAAACAAAAGATTAAATTGTAGGCTGTAAAGGACTCCATTGTAATTCTTTACAATATTGTATTCTTGTTTTCTTTTTCTTAAAACAATTTTTCCTTTATCTATTTATATTAATTCCATATCTTTTGAATTAGGACGCTTTTATTTAAAGTTAAGTTGTATGGTGGCGTTATCTACTGTGTAGTTTTATTAGATAATAATCTGCGCTGTATTAATAACTAAATGCTGGGCAAGAAACATAAACAAACTGTTTATTGAGACACATAACCCCGTAAAGCAAAATTACCCTAATAAGCATTTTGAAAAATTCGTATCTTTTGAACGGGGCCGTCCGGGGTGAAGGTCAAAGGTCACATGGCTTCGTAACAGACCCGGTAATAATCCCTATTAGTTTCAGCTTGACCGTAGAAGACCGATACAAGTTATGAGCAAAACAAATTCCGTTTTCATACATTTGAAACTCTAAAGCCTGTGCTTTATGGTGTTAGATTAAAAGGAAATTCCCCAAACTATTTTATTATTCAATGTACTGATATGTCCAATAAAACCGCATACCTTAAACGGATAATAAACATTTTTATTTTTTCAAAAATCCTATGAAAGTGGACCTCTTTTTTTCACCCACTGTGCGTCGGGGCAATATTTTGTAATGACAAGATTTGTAGTAATTGTTTTGTAAGGCCATGTACGTATGTACTCCAATTGCATTTAAAAAATATACCAACAGTCCGTCCTATTCGAAAAATAGTACTAATTTTTTACTTTTTATTTCATTTTTTATCGACAGGCGTGTTATTTTTTTACGAGGTTTATTTATAACTAGCTGCTGCTGCCAGGGATTGCAATCCGGAAAAACGGATCATGTAATCCGGCATCATTTGCGGGTACCGGATCCGGTGCTAGCAGTTTACTCATTTTGTGATAATTTTTGGCATTCCTTCGTGCGATAGATTCATCAAATCATGATGGTATCTGTCTTAAATACCTAATACCTATCAGACTTGTTTGTTAGCATTCTTAAATACTTTAATAATGATTTAGATCTCATTTCAGTTAATAGTATCTATTAGATATTATAGTTACTTA